GAGGGTCAGAGGGAGAAGCAGACTCCCTGCCGAGCAGGGAGCCCGATGCGGGACTCGATCCAGGGACTCCAGGATCATGATCTGAGCCGAAGGCAGTCGCCCAACCAACAGAGCCACCCAGGCGCCCGCCCCTGTACATCTTAATTAAGAAATAGTTCATTGCTAAAAAATGTTAGCTACCATCTGAGTTTTCAGTGAGTTATAATCACTAATCACAGATCACCATAACAAATATACTAGTGGAAAAGTTTGAAATCTTGCTAGAATTACCAGAATGTGACACAGAGACGTGAGTGAGCAAATGCTAGGGAGAATGGTGCTGATAGACTTGGTGGAGGCAGGGCTGCCCCAAACCTTCGATTGCACGAAGCACAGGGTCTGTGAAGCAACATGGAACAAGGTGTGCCTGTGTATAGAAGAGAGCCCCCAGCCAGCCCAGGGCCCTGTGGGGTCCCCAGCTGTTGGGCTGGGGCTTCCTCTGTGGGAAAAAGTTGTGTGAACATAGCAAGGATGATGCCTAGACTTCTTGGAGAGTGGTTGCCAACCTTTGGTGTTCGTAATACCTTTCCTTCTTTCTATTGAAGTATGCAATACTTACAGAAAAGTGCACAAGCCCTAAGTGTTCAGCTTGATGAATTTTCCAACCTGAACACACCTTCCAGCAGCAGCCAGGTGAAGAAACTGAACACACCTGGCCGCCCGGTGCTCCTACCAGTCACTGCCACAGTCCAGTCTAACTTCCAGTGGTGTAGATTAGTTTTGCCTGTATCTGTACTTTATTTTTGTTCCTGGCTTTTTCATTCAACGTCACGTTTGTGGGACATTCTCTATATTGCCGAGTATTGTTGTAGATCATTCTCATTGATGCACAGTGGTTTCCTGTGTGACTATATCAAAATTAATTCAGTCTGCCATCGGGGGTCATTTGGGTGGGTTCCCAGTTTTTGGCTATTAGGGTGTAAGAGTGCTGCTGTGAACTTTGTAGTGCGTGTCTTGGCGAACCTATGTGGCCATCTCTGTAAGGCCTACGCACCAAGGAGGAGAGCTGACAGCCGTAGCAGGTCAAGCAAACAGCGTTCCAGGGTGTGGCACCGGTTCGCCATCTACCAGCAGGTTCAGAGTTCCCTCCAAACCTGCTTTATACTTGGCACTTTCCACCATTCTGGCTGTTCTGGTGGATGTTCGTTGGACCATTAACAACCTGGTGTGTGACCGTGACAGAGGTTTCAAGGTTAGGCTTGTTTACAGGTGGGGGGAGGTCATGGGAGACCTCAGGCCACTTTCTGGAAGGCCATCCTGCAGCAGCCCTTCCCCGCCCCCTCCCTCCCCGGTCTGCTGTGGCCACACTTGCTGGGATTGCTGGCTCGCAGCTGTCTTCCGGAAGTCATGGACTTTCTTGTTCTGTCATTGCCTCTCCAGATCTTGGTGTCTGACAGACAGCACTCGAGAGATGTGTTAGGAATGGGGGAGCCAGGGGTGCCTGGGTGGCTCAGTTGTTAGGCGTCTGCCTTCGGCTCAGGTCATGATCCCAGGATCCTGGGATTGAGCCCCGCATCGAGTCCCTGCTCCGTGGGAAGCCTGCTTCTCCCTCTCCCACTCCCCCTGCTTGTGTTCCCTCTCTCGCTGTGTCTCTCTCTCTATCAAAATCAATAAATAAAATCTTAAAAAAAAAAAAAAAAGGAATGGGGGAGCCAGTGGTGAGTGTTAGCAAGAGGCAGGTGTTGAGGGAAATGTGCAGTGGCAGAATGGCTTGTGGAGGTAGCTGGTGAACCCCTCTCGTGGAATTAAGTTTTGGCAGAGCTGGTCTTCAGGAATGCCAGAGAAAGGCCCTGCAGGAGGAAGTTGGAGTGACTCCAAAGGCTCTTTTCCACGTTAGATGACCGAAAACGTTGTGCCGGGGTATGCACGTCGTTTACTAGCAGCCCCAGGAGATTAGCTGTGGCTGAGCAGACCACACCGTGTTGTCCGAGCCTCTGCAAGAGCTCTTAGGAAAGTCTGCTTTTTCCAGACCCCTTGTTTTGGCTGTTCTGGGCCCTGGGGCCCTTAGCTGAGATCCCACTGTGGATTAATGTGTGTCTCTCTCTCGCTTTCACACTTAAGGATGCTTTGCCTGTGGGATGGAAAACGGATTCCGAGTCTATAACACCGATCCGCTAAAAGAAAAAGAGAAACAAGGTAAGAGTAGTTGACATTTCGTAGTTTCTCCCTTTTTCCAGACTTCAAAGAATCTGCATTTTATCTCACAGTTGTGGGGGGCGGGGTCCTGGTTTTGAGAAGTAAATAGGTTCATGGCCCTCTGCTGGCCTAGACGGGGTGCAGGGCTGATCCAGTGGGCGTGGCCCGGCTCTGATTTCTCCGGTGGATGTGAACTTTGAAACGCCATGTCTTCAATTGTCGCTAGCTGCCACAGGAGAACATGGGGTAGTGGTGCAGGCCATTCTCTCTCTTCCTGCTGAATGTGAAGTTGTAGAGAACTCAAGTGATGGGTTTAATTCAGTATATGGGACTCTTGACTCTTGATAAATGACCACTTAGAAAATATTATCTGTAGCAATAAATTGTAGTTGCTTCTGTTTACGTATTTCAGTGTCTTAAGTTACGTTTTCGGGGAATGCAAGTTTTCAAAAGCTTCTTAAGTGGAATCAGGACTTCTATTGATAATACTAAAATAATGGTGATCCTTTTGCCATTTGACAGGAAAAATTGGTAAATTTTACAGGTAGACTTGTTTTCAATTTACTTTTCCCCCAAGGTATTTTTCTTACGCTTTTGGTGTCTCCTCTCTTTACTTGCTTGGAGAATCAAGCACTGCCAACAGATGAACAAATCTCAGATAAATCATAGAAAATGAGAAACATCCTTTTTCTTCCTGTAGTTGTGGTTTTGGTTTTTACTCAGTGCACAGTTATATTTTCTGATGCTGGAACTGTTTCTTTCTGTAAGAGGAAGTTACTGCATCCCGGTGCTCCACTGAACAGCCCCCTTCCGTTATCACAACTAATAACCCAGCATCAGGGACTTTCAGAAATGTTTTGACAGTGAAACCCCTTTGTCAAGTGCAGTCTTTGTACAACAGCCCTGGTGTATAAAACAGTAAGTGGTGCTTTACATCTAGGAGTTGACTTTGTAAATTGAGGTGTATAACTTGCATTTATTAGACACAGACCATATAGCCGGTAGTTAAGGGCTCAGGTTCTTGGCCCACATTGGTTGGGTGGAATCTGACTCTGCCCCTTACCAGGCTGCTGTGTGACCTTGGGCAAGTTCCTCACCTTCTCTTGGCCTCACTTTCTTTGTGTAAAAGGGAGGTGATAACTGTCTGCCTCCTAAGATTATCGTGAAGATCAGTGAATTAGAATGCTTAAAACACATAGATTAGTGCCTGGCACACATATTAAGTGCTGTGTAAGCTTGTGCCTTCATCATCTGTCAGTCCAGCAGCCGTGTGCTCTTAGAGAGTGGGTCAGTGAGTGCTTCAGGCCGTGATGGGAGTTTCCTGTCAGTCTTCTGAGAATCTGCCTTGTATTTGTTTTTTGGTTGCTTAGTGAATTAAGACAATTCTTCTTTATATGAATCAATAGTGACAAAATACTTTGAAACAATTTGACTTGCAAATACTTTTTATTTAAAGTGACCTAGAGGGACCCCTGGTTGGCTCAGTCGGTTAAGTGTCTACCTTTGGCTCAGGTCGTGGTCCCAGGGTTCTGGGATTGGGTCCCACATGGGGCTCCTCGCTCAGCGGGGAGCCTGCTTCTCCCTCTACCTGCCGCCGCCCCTGCTTGTGCTCTCCTTCTCTCTGACAAATAAATAACATAGGGGCGGGGCGCCTGGGTGGCTCAGTGGTTAAGCGTCTGCCTTCGGCTCAGGTCATGACCGCAAGGTCCTGGGATCGAGCCCCACATCGGGCTCCCTGCTTTGGTGGGGAGCCTGCTCTCCCTCTCCCATTCCCCCTGCTTGTGTTCCCTCTCTCGCTGTGTCTCTCTCTGTAAAATAAATAAAATCTTTAAATAAATAAATAAAATAAAGTGACCTAGAAATTTAGGAGTTACAGGCTTAGTTTCCAGTTGAATCATTAGTAATATATTGACAGCTATTTCCTAATTAATGATATGTCTATAACAAACTCAGGATTTTTCTAAAAATACATTAGGGTGCCTGGGTGGCTCAGTCGGTTGAGCATCTGCCTTCAGCTCATGTCATGATCTCGGGGTCCTGGGATGGAGCCCCGCATCGGGCTTCCTGCTCGGCAGGGAATCCTCTTCTCCCTCTTCCTGTGCCCCTCCCTCCTTGATCGTGCGCGCGCGGGCGCTCGCGCGCTCTCTCTCTCTCTCTCTCTCTCTCTCTCTCTCGCTCGCTCGCTCTCGCTCGCTCTCGCTCTCGCTCTCTCTCGTAAATAAATAATCTAAAAGAAAAAAAAATACGTTAGACAAGAAGCATTTAAAAGTCTAAGTTCCAGAGGGTTTGCCATTGTCATGCTGAGAGCAAGTATTGTTTCCTCTTGCTGCTCAGCCTAACTGGGTCTGGGGCAGTCTGTCCCTAAGCTTAGCTTGGAGTGAATTTGAAAAGGATCATGGTGGGGCCTTGCTGTGCTTTTTGATGGTGTATTTTAAGCAATCCGCCCCTGTGCACTTGTAGGTTGGTCTGCTGTTAATTTCTGGCAACTTAGAACTTGACAGAAAACAGGCTGGATCTTGTTCCTGTTTTATCTTGACGGTTTGCTTTCCTAAATGAGGAGGAAGGAAGTGTGCCTGCATTTCCGTGGTCACCCCCAGATCTGGGCTGTCGGCCGTTACCTCCAGTGTGACCGTGGCACTGAGTAGGTGGGATTGGCCATGAGCTGCCTCTCCCAGGTGTGCCCACCGCCGGCAAGGACTGGGAGCCGTTGGAGGCAGCTTTCTCCCACCTCCCTCCCAGGCGTTGAGGGTCCTGCATCTTAATCACACTTGAAGTGGGCATGCAGCTCTGCTGCACTCCCAGAAAGCTGTGAGGCCCCAGGGAGGACTGCCTGCAGTGGCAGCCTGTGGGGTCCACGTGTAGGACTTGGACTCACATCTGAGCGTGTGCTGGGAAGAAGGTTCGAGAATGATACGTTTAGATAAAATATGATATCCAGTGATTATAGAAACAAGGAATACTCATAAAAAGTTAGTTTCCCTTTTCATTTAGAAACCAACTCTTCTGCGGTGCAGAGGTGATGAGAACTTGTACAGCCCCTGCTCAGTGAGCTGGCCCGGCCTGCAAGGGGGGCAGAGGGGTTCGCAGGCCTTCCCCTGTCTTCGTGTCACCCTTGTTTCCCTCCCCATGACCAGTGCTCACACATGTGACATTGGCAGCCATGTGTGGGGAAGTAGAGAGGACACAGAGACCGAGAGAGAACAGCACATGACTGAGGTGGGACGCAGGTGAGGGCTGTGCATTCCCGAGCCCACTGGGCGGTGGTCGGTGCCTCCAGCGCCTGATGCTGCGCTGGGGCTGGGGATACAGTCATGAATAAGACGGGCAGGGTCCTTCGTGTGACACACTAAGTGTCTGGAAAAAAAGAGGTGACCTGTCGTGCACGATTCCTGATGTTACCCAGTCCAGCAGCCTACCTGACTTAACGGTATGTTGGGGGCCTTGATCCTCGTTTTGTGTAATGGGCCTCATGCTCCTGTGCTCACCCCAGCATGTCCAAGATGAAGGGACTAGAGAGAAATGGGAAGCATGTGAGGTGGAGGGGAGTGAGCGGATTGTCATGACGGGTGGTGTTCCCACATTCGCATGTAGCTTTGGTTTGGCTGTGGAGAAGCAGCCTATTCCATGGCCTGTTTCATGACCTCAGTGGTTCAGTTTAGGTTGGTAGAATCTTTTTATAGGGTAATTTGGCAAAATGTGTTCATTTTATGCAAACACATATACTGTTTGATTCATCAATTATACCTAATGGATTTTATCTTTTTTTTTTTTGAGATTTTATTCAGAGAGAGACACAGGGAGAGAGGGAACACAAGCAGGGGGAGTGGGAGAGGGAGAAGCAGGCTTCCCGCTGAGCAGGGAGCCCGATGCGGGGCTCGATCCCAGGACCTGGGATCATGACCTGAGCCAAAGACAGATGCTTAATGACTGAGCCACCCAGGCGCCCTAAGGGATTTTATCTGAAAGAAAAAAATTGGAAGACCCCAGATGCTTGTATAAATATATTGCTCTTGATCCTGAACAACCGGGAATTAGGAGCGATCACACACACACACACACACACACACACCCTGCAGTTGAAAATCCACGTGTGACTTTGTTTTTTTAGATTTTATTTTATTTATTTTATTCGAGAGAGAGTGAGTGAGGGAGAGCACAAGCGGGAGGGGCAGAGAGAGAAGGTGAGGGAGAAGCAGGCTCCCCGCCGAGCAGGGAGCCCGATGTGGGGCTCAGCCCCGGGACCCTGGGTTCATGACCTGAGCCGAAGGCAGATCCTTCACCAGCTGAGCCACCCAGGCGCCCCTATGTATGACTTTTGACTCCCCAACAACCTAACTGCTAATAGCGTATTGTTGACCAGAAGCTTTATTGATAACAGTTAACACGTATTTTGTGTGTTATATGTATCGTATACTATATTCATACAGTAAAGCTCAAGAAAAGGAAATACTGTTAAGAAAATCATTAAGAGGGGTGCCTGGGTGGCTCAGTCGTTAAGCGTCTGCCTTTGGCTCAGGTCATGGTCCCAGGGTCCTGGGATCGAGCCCCCATCGGGCTCCCTGCTTGGTGGGAAGCCTGCTTCTCCCTCTCCCACTCGCCCTGCTTGTGTTCCCTCTCTCGCTGTGTCTCTCTCTGTCAAATAAATAATAAAATGTTAAAAAAAAAAAATCGTAAGAGAAAATACATTTACAGTATCAGACTGTATTTATTGAAAAAAATCTGCCTGTAAGTGGACCTGTGCAGTTCATTCCCAAGGGTCAAGTTGATAGTCCTTTCTAGCATTTCTATGAAGCCTTGAATCTACTTTTCTCACAGAGCCAGCTGATGAACTTTGGAATCACCTTGAATGGCCATGGCTGGTCTTCATTTAACTTCTGACTTTCAGAGGTGTTGCTTCCTCACTTGCCCTTTGCTGTGCCCTCCCTGTGCCAGGAGTTCCGGTCGTTGCTGACCAGAGTGCAGAGCTGGTGAGAACAGGATGGATGGTCCAGCTCTGCAGCAGAAACCATCCAGAGTGGGGTTCGCTTCTCTGAGCCCCAAACTTCTCACCAGGTTCCCATTACCTTCCCTGAATGAGCATTGTTGGTCTTCCTTTTGTCATGGAGGACATCTGAAAATCTGCTGACGTTTTCCTCTTAACATAATTCACCAACATTTTTGAGCATTTCAAGCCAGTGGAAGAGGTGTTTAAAGTGATGAACTCTGCTTTTACATTAAAGCATTTAGCATGCTTTCTTAGAGCTTGGAGATTTTGCTACCCCTTAAAATAGGAGTTTTCATACATTTTGGTACGTTGGCTTCTTAGGGTGCTGGGTGCTCAGCATTTATACCTGGGGAACACAGCTCATGAGGGTGGGCTGCTGAGGGAGGTCCAAGGCCCACGGCTCTTCCTCTTTCCTGGCCAGCTGGCAGTCTCATTGCTGATGGTAGTCAGGTATAGATCGCTGATGAAAGTCAAATGCTAAGTGTTACCTTTCCCTTTTTTTCTGTATTTAAATTGCAAAATATACATACTAACTTTTTTTCAATATCATTTCAGAATTTCTGGAAGGAGGAGTTGGCCATGTTGAAATGTTATTTCGCTGCAACTATTTAGCTTTAGTCGGTGGTGGGAAAAAGCCGAAATACCCCCCCAACAAAGGTAAAGTGATGGTGGGCTTAATGATCATGCCTTCCATGTTATAATGTCTGGAACTTTCTAGAGCATCTTGGTGTTTGTGGCTACATTTGCTCTTCCCTGGTGGCCCTGTGGAGTATGAAGGACCAATCACTGACAGGAGGCATCCAGAGAGAAAGTCTTGTCCCTGCTGTTCCCAGGAGAAAAAGTGTGTGGCAAGGGTCACCTGTTCCCATCGACATAAAACACGTGCTTTTCATTTTTTTTTAAAATATGTTTTATTTTATTTTTTATTTATTTATTTTTAAAGATTTTGTTTATTTATTTGACAGAGAGAGACACAGCAAGCGAGGGAACACAAGCAGGGGGAGTGGGAGAGGGAGAAGCAAGCTTCCTGTGGAGCAGGGAGCCCGATGTGGGGCTTGATCCCAGGACCCTGGGACCATGACCTGAGCCGAAGGCAGTCACTTAACCGACTGAGCCACCCAGGCGCCCAAGCACGTGCTTTTCAATTAATGTTGGCTAAACAGGGGGCATGCCATGCCTCTGGACCCCATTTTGTTCTGAGTATTCAACTGTGGGTTGGTATCATAAATGTTATGTGTTCATTTTAAAGCAAGGTATAGGAAGGTTATTTTTCCTACAAAGAGCCATTGACTCACAGAAACATTGATTTGGTTGCCACATAGAACAAAAAACCATGTTGGCTCTAGGTTTAAGAATATTGTGTTTGGTATGTGTGTATAAGTCTGTGTGTGTTCAGAGAGATTGTGGTGTAAAAGGTCTGGCTTTTAAAGTAGGGGAGAAACAAAAACTTTACCAACCACAGTGTGTATACACTTGATACCTGTAAACCCAGGTATCTGTGAAAGCAGGGTAGAACACCAGAAGAGGTGGGAGGTGGATTGTGGAGATGGGTAAGGACAGATCCAGGGACTTTGAATACCAGCTGAGGGTGTGATTGGGAAAGAGGGGAGTCAGGTGAGCACAGAAAGGTGCAGAGTCCTGGATGATCCTTGGCAGGCTCTGGGGCCCCGGCTTGCAGCTCTCAGAGGAGCCTGGTGGACACTGTGAGTGGGGATGGGGAGTGGAACTGCCTGCAGTGGTGTGCTTGGACCCTTCCAGCTTGTCACGACCAGGGCTGAAGGGCAGAAAGCCTGGGTTGCTGTCTGGGTCGTTGCCAGCAGAGCCTGTGGCTTAGAAGTTCTGAAAGAGGCCATCCAGAAGCAACATAGAGGCCACCATGCTCAGAGTGCAGGTATGGGGGCACGGGGGGAGAGGGGGCTTCGGTTGGGCATCTGAGTCTTGATCCTCAGAGTTGTGGGTTTGAGACCCACGCTGGGCATGGAGCCCAGCATGGAGCCTACTTAGAACTCCTTTCCTGGGGCGCCTGGGTGACTCAGTCAAGCGTCTGCCTTTGGCTCAGGTCATAATCTCAGGGTCCTGGGATCAAGCCCCATGTAGGGCTCCCTGCTCAGTGGGGAGTCTGCTTCTCCCTCTCCCTCTGCCGCTCCCCCCACTCATGCTCCCCCCCAATAAAGAAATAAAATCTTTTATTTATTTGAGAGAGAGCATGAGGAGGGGGAGGGTCAGAGGGAGAAGCAGACTCTCTGCTGAGCAGGGAGCCCGATGTGGGACTCGATCCCAGGACTCTGAGATCATGACCCGAGCCGAAGGCAGTCGCTTAACCAACTGAGCCACCCAGGCACCCAATAAATAGAATCTTAAAAATAAATAAATAAATAAAATAATTCCTTTCCCTGGGCTGCTTGGGGGCGGGCACACGTCCTGCTGCTGGGTCAGCCTTTGCCTTGAAGCATGTTACTGATCACTGAAGAGGAAAGAGAGTCCAGAGCCTGGCCCCTCCTGTGGCACTGTGGCTTTTCAATAATGTCAAAATTGCTGCTTGAATTTACTCTTAATATTTTAATAGTTATAAATTAAGATACACGGTGTTGAAATGTGAAGAAGCTAGTGTCTTCGGTTTGTGAAAACCAGTAAAATGAGACTCGAGGAGACTGGTCATCACAGTGCAACGAGGCAAGTTCCAGCCGAGGCTGCACACGCTGTTCAGGCAGCGCCAAAAGGCCTTTTCTTACTTAATCAGGAGCTTAGAGGACAAAAGAAGAATTCCAGAATTAGTGAATGTACCTTTTGCTATTGGGAACTGTATTAAAAGACAGACATGCCAAATCCTGGGTATACATGTAGAATTTCCAGCACACCAGGACGGTGGCTTGCAGCCCATGGAGACCACAGGAAGCTGAAGGTCACCCCAGGTCCGTGGATTTTTCTGTCTGGGGCATTGTGTCTGGTCACTTTGCTTTTGTGAGTGAGAATTCGAGCTGCTGGCTCTGGGGCTCCATCATGCTGTTTCCAGAAATTTCTGAAAATAGAGTTCACTTGGATTTGTGACACCCTTGATATGGCTCATCAAATTGGGATTCTATCTGGATTGGGCCAGTTTACATTTGTTTTGAATTGCAGATTTTTTGGTGTTAGGTTGCAGAGCCAGAGAAAGTTTACTTTTGAACTGCTTTACAAGTTCAAGAGTGTACGTGTCCTTTGCCCAGAAGGTTATTGTATTTCAGTGAGGTGACTGTGGACTGAGGTTCTGTCCCACTTACCAACATGCTAGACCACTTTGGGGACTTGGGAATGAAGAGATTTATCAGAGATGGCATTTTAAAGGAATAACAACAGAATTTTCTGCTTCATTTTGAATGGTTATAAATTTCAATCTCTTTGATAGTAAATAATTTTATAAAAATAAAAGTTTGGTAGTTCTCTTAGGTGTTGTTATCTTTTGATTTGAAATTGAGGTCACTGAGTCCATTCTGGCAAAACTTACCCCTAAATCTCACCTCCAGGACTCGTGGTGGTCATGGTGTCAGGACCTTTAGGGGAGACATTCATTGCCTTCCACCCTTGGTCACCTGGCCCATGACCTGCTGAAGCTTATTTTCCCTCACCTCACACTCTTCCTAGACAGCTTTGTAAGAGAAAGATGCAGAAGATAGAAAATATTTGGATACCACCCTCCCCCACACCTCTCCCCCAGCTCAGTGCTGCTCGCCGTCCTCATCCTCAAAGGTTATCTGTAAATTTTCTCAGCCCTTGGGATGCAAAATATTAATGCTTCATAAAGTACTGCAGTGTGAGCAGCAAAGTGAGACCGAAGAAGAGCAAGAACAGTCGGGCTGGGGTTGAGAGTAATCCCCAGCCCTGGTTTTTTAATCCATTAAAACTGAAGCCTCTCTTTTCTTGATCCAGGTGTCTCTCTAGCACTCCAGCAGTAGTTGTGGTTAGGCTTGCTTTTGGCTCAGGCAGGTGAAACCGAGGAAAGAGGGGTGGGGAGAACTTTGCCTGACAGCTAGGCAAGGTTGGCAGAAAGGAGGTGTGTGTGCTTGCGTGCGTGCGTGCGTGCGTGTGTGTGTGTGTGTGTGTGTGTGTGGTGGGGGGAGACTGGGCTGGGGTACTGGAAGGGAAGAGCGGGGAGGGAGCGGGTGAGCGCTCTGCTCTCAGAGACAGCGTTGCGAGTGGTGGGCTGCACATGTCCCTTGGGTCTGAGACTGGGCAGTGGGAGAGCAATACCTCCACCTGGTCAGAGATTCATGAGGTCAGGACCCTTCTGTGAGGCCCCGCCCATAAGCTTTCTCTGAAATTTCAGTGATGATCTGGGATGACCTGAAGAAGAAGACTGTTATTGAAATAGAATTTTCTACAGAAGTCAAAGCAGTCAAGCTGCGGCGAGATCGGTAGGTTTACTATCTAAGTTTCTCTGAAGACGGCTGAAATACTTTCATATTGAAGGAAGAAACATGTTTGGGAAAATCATGTCTTCAGATGTGATGATTGTAGTTTATGACCCAAAGGACATGCGATTCTCTGTATTGCTGCAAAGAAGGCGTGAGTTTTGTGGGCTTCCACAGATCGTTTAGAAGCAGTTTGTCAGTGGATGTGCCTGGCAGCAGCGCTCAGTGGTCCTCAGTCCTTCAGAGGACGGTCCCCATCCAGCAGGTTCCCGCTGAGGACACGAGGGGTGAGCCTTCCTCACTCTCGGTCCAGCTTTGCCGCGCGCTGCCTCAGTAAATGTTACCGGCTGGAAGGTAAGGGAAGATACGGAGACTCCTTAGTGAGAAGGTGGCATTGCTGTTACCTGTTGAAAGTAGCAGGCTTCTTTCAACCGTTGCTAGCATGGTGTTTAGGAGAACAGAAGTTTTTACTAGTACATTCAGCAAGATAGAGTTTTGTTAATTTGGATTTTAATTTGGTGTGATTTACATCTTATACTCAGCTGTGGAAGGGGCAAAGATGCTGAACAAGGTGAATGTGAATAGGGGACTGTCATACCTGCATTCTTAGGTTTGTGACTTCCGGTAATGTTGATTGTTAGGGGCCCCTAATCAAATCCTGGAGGCAAATCCAAGGACCTTCCAGTTTCCAACGTTTCTAAATTACCCAGACATATCTAAAAGTGTATATAAAGAAAATTTCTTTATTTTCTGCTCCACGTACTCTACTTGGTTCTTATTCTAGATGAAATATTTGATGAAAATGTCCTTAAACCTCGGGAAGGTCCGTTAGTCAGCCTGTACCCAGGTGCGCAGGTGAGAGGTGCTTGTCCATCAGTGCCTGCCACACCCCCAGGGGCTCATGGGTGACCTCCAGAGACCTTGCCTTTGTGGGGCTCTGATTCAAGAATGATCCTTCTGCCTGTGCTGTTTGGACTGTTTCTAAGTTTCAAAATAGTAAGAACAAAAATCACAAAATGCTTGAGTTTTGCTTTTGGGAATAGGAATTCTGATTGTGTTTTTTTCTTTGCAGAATTGTGGTTGTTTTGGACTCAATGATTAAGGTGTTTACGTTCACACATAATCCCCATCAGTTGCATGTCTTTGAAACCTGCTATAATCCTAAAGGTAAGAAATGCAGAGGAGTAACGATGGAAGTTGGCTCTTTGATGTTCCGTCCAGGTGGAGACCGGTGCCGGGTGCCCTCCTCTGCGGCAGGTCTCTGAGTGGCACTGCCGTGGTCAGATGGGTCCTGAGACTCACTGGGGGCACTCTGACGGGGACAGACTTCTCGTTCTTCCTCCTACACCCTTTTCCCTGGGTGCCCTCCACCTCCTCCTGGGCGAGCTCTCTGGGCCGCATTGCTCACACCAGCACCTGGTCTGCCAGGGAGTGGCTGAGACCCCCCTCCTACCACGCAGGGGGTGGGGGGGTTGGAATGAGGGAACTTTCCCCCTGTCGTCGTCAGCAGTTCAGGAGCTCCTTGGGCGACCTTGGAATTGTGTGTTTTCACTGAGTTCTGAGGGGTTTCATTCCCTTTTTCTTCGGAGCGAGGATTGCATGTGACTTTGTTCCTCATTATAGCACCTCAATTTCTTTTTAAAATTTTTAGTGTTTTTCTTCTAGCTTTATTGAGCTGTAATATACATAAAACTCACTCATTTTAACTATATCGTTCGATATATTTAGTCATTGTAAACAGCCGTGAAACTACCCCCACAGTGGAAAAGAGTTCCAGGTGGCCCCTTTCCCCACCTGGCCTTCAAGTTTTGTGGTCTTCCTCTTAGCCTAATATTTCTTAGGTTCCTCCATGTGTTACGTATATATTCTTTTCCTCATTTTTATTCCTAAGTAATACTGTGTAGTATGGATATACCAAATTGTTTATGCACTCCAGTGTTTGGACCGTTATGAATAGAAGTTGTTGTGAATGTTCACAGACATGTCTTTGCCTGGAGGAATTGTTTTATTTCTCTTGGGTGAATACTGAAGAGCACATCTGCTGGATCATATTGTCATGATGTGCCCACGTTTATAAAATACTAGCAAATGTTTTCCAAAATGGTGGTGTCTTCTTGCACCCCCATCAGTGACCTAGGAGGGCTGGATGGCAGCACATCCCTGCCCCAGCACTTGGTATTGTCACTCTTCTGAACATGGGTGTTGCCTTGGGACTGGTATGTCCCTGGGGTTTTGTTTGCATTTCTCTGAGGACTGGCGGTGTTGAGCATCTTGTCATGTGCTTGTTGCCATTCAAACATCTGGGGTGTCTTCACGTTTTTTCCTGTTTTAACTTTATCTTCTCACTGACTTGTAAGAATTCTTTGTATATTCTAGATAAGGCCCTTTGTCTATCACTTTTGCAGATATTTTCAGTGGGGCTGTGGTTTTTTGCAAAACAAAGATTTTCTTTTATGTGTTCTTCTAGAAGCTTTAGATCTTAAGTTAGGCCTTTAATCTATTTTTTTGTGTATAGCATGAGACAAAGGCCCAGATTTGTATTTTTCTTTACGAATATCTGACTATTTTTTTCTGCAATGAATTATCTTGGTACTTTTTTTTTTTTTTTTTTAATCAAGTAAGTGTAAGATTTTTCTGGACTCTCTGTTCTGTTCCAGTGATATGTCCTTATATCAATACCATACTGCTTTGGTATCAAGAGCTTTAAAATAATTCTTAAAATTAGGTAGTGTAAGTTCTCTAATGTTTTATTTTACAAAAAATTTTTGGCTATTCTAGGACCTTGCCTTTCCTTAGGATGTTTAGTGTCAGCTTGTCCGCTGTTTGATAAAGCCTGCAGAAAGACTTGGATTGTGACGGGACTGACCCTGCAGGCAAAGTACACTCCAGCCGTGACCACAGTAGGTCAGCTCAGATCAGCTCTCCATCCATCAGAACTTTGGTTTCCTTCTACACTGTGGTCCAGTGTCTGATGCAGGCACTGTCAAATTTATTCCTAAGTATTTGGGGTTTTGTGCAGTTGTTAATGGAGTGTTTGTATTTCACAGTTTTGTATTCTCAGTGGCTGGCACCATGGAAGGTGGATATGTGACAGTGGATGTTTCCAATTACGAGGCAGTCTCAGTCTCCCAGGACTTAGCCTTGTCTGGCCTTCTAATACCTTTTACAATGAAAAGATGTTGTGATTCTGATATAAATGAAAACCCTAGGGGGCACCTGGGTGGCTCAGTTAGTTTGGCATCCAACTCTTGGTTTCGGCTCAGGTCGTGATCTCAGACTCATGGGATCAAGCCCCACGTTGGGCTTTGGGCTCAGCATGGAATCTGCTTGAGAGAATTCTCTCTCCACCTCCCTCTGCCTCCCACCCTGCACGATCTCTCTCTCCCTCTCTGTCTCTAAGATAAAGAAATAAAATCTTAAAAAAAAAAAAATTAAAACACATGAGTAAGTCTTATTTTTTTTTCTTGTGAGCTAGAGGACAGAGAATAGGTTTTGTTTGGGTAAGGCAGAGGCTTTTAGACAGTCGTGAGTGCTTGATGGGTTCTCTCCATCTCCGATCAGGCCTCTGCGTCCTGTGCCCCAACAGTAACAACTCCCTCCTGGCCTTCCCGGGCACACACACGGGCCACGTGCAGCTTGTGGACCTGGCCAGCACCGAGAAGCCGCCCGTGGACATTCCAGCTCACGAGGGCGTCCTGAGCTGCATTGCTCTCAACCTGCAGGGAACAAGAATTGCAACCGCATCTGAGAAAGTAAGTGTGTGTCCTCCCGTGACAGCGGCACACCTGCCCCGGCCGCCCTCGCAAGGGCCCTTGCGCTCCCAAGGACTTAGCGTGCGGCCCCGCGGAAACCAGCCCTTCCCTGTGGGCTCTGACTGCTCACGGGTTCTTCGCCACCTTCTCTTGGGAAGGTGGCGAAGGCGTTGGAGGGGAGGAGTTTCATCACCTGACTGGCATGTAGAGGTGGCCTCAGGGACCCCAGAGCCTCAGGGTGGGGCCACAGGAAGTCCCTTCCCCTCCCTGGTACAGAATAGAATCACTGTGCTTTTTTCTAACCGGCCATGGGAGTTACAACGAAGATGTCATTGCTCTAGACAGAGAACTGACAACCCCCCAGGAACACGTCCGTACAGGCTGCGGGTTCTCTCAGGCGTCTGCCGGGGCAGTAGGTGCAGGGGGTTAGTGCAGGGCTGGCACCCAGGGGTCTGGCTGCTACCCAGTGCTGTCGGGCCAGAGAGCCACCACCTTAACTCTCGGGTACAACGGAGGGAAAAGTTGAGTTTTAGATGATGTGGGTGAGTTGGGAAGGGGTTGTATGGACTGATGGGTTTGTGAGTATAATATTCATTTCAAAAAACTAAAAAGTTGTGAATGATAATAAAACACTTCACTGTTTTTCAAAGGGGACCCTTATAAGAATATTTGATACTTCATCAGGGCATTTAATCCAGGAACTACGAAGAGGATCTCAAGCAGCCAATATTTATTGGTAAGAAGCCCCCCACCCCCATGTCCCCTGAGTGACTGAGTCAAACAGGGCTCGTGTGACTGAGGGAGAATCAGGGCCCCTACCTGCTGTAGAGAGTCAGGTGTCAGCTTGTTTTATTATGACTAACTTTAGATCGTTATTATGGGAACACGTACAAAAGAGAGATTGTAATGAACTACCATTGACCTGCCTCCATGTTTGTCGGTACTTGCCAGTTTTATTTCTTCTCCACTGTTCCTCCAGCCGATTCTTCTGTGGTATTTTAAGGCAAACACCAGAGACCTTGTTAGCTCATCTGTAATCACTCGGGGTCTGCAGCCCTGCCGTGGTGGACCCCCTGCTTGGGCGGGGTTTCGTTCTTGGCGTCTGTGGCCTTTCCAGGTGCCGAGCAGCATTTGGGTCTGTGTGATAAACATGTAATTAACATATGTGTTTACTGAATGTGCTTGTGGGGCCCTGTGGGGGCTCTCCCCTGTGTCTACTCTCAGGGCCCCTCCAGCCAGAGTGGGGGCCTGCCCAGCCCCAGTGATGCCCACCTCCAAAGGGCAGCCTGCACCTCCAGGGGCCAGGGGCGTTGGAGGGGAGGAGTTTCATCACCTGACTGGCATGTAGAGGTGGCCTCAGGGACCCCATAGCCTCAGGGTGGGTCCACAGGAAGTCCCTTCCCCTCCCTGGTACCCAGCCTTATCAGTGTACCCAGGGAGGGGCCCTGCTGTGGCACGCTGGGTTGTTCCCCAGTGTGGACCCTCCGGTTCCTTGGAGAGCACTGCCGGCTGATTAGTGGAGGGTGGTGGTGCCAGCAGTTGCTGTCTGGAATCGGAGAAGGCCAGGGTTTGAGGCGCCAGCTCACATAGCGGCCTGGTACTACGGTTGGGGCCCGGGCTCTTCTGCATCCACATGAGACCAGAGCTTCATCTGATGTCTCTGCAGCATTAACTTCAATCCGGACGCTTCCCTCATCTGTGTGTCCAGTGACCACGGCACAGTGCACATTTTTGCTGCCGAAGATCCAAAAAGGAATAAACAGTCTAGGTAGGTTTCCCAGAGTTAAGAGCACTAGGCCCCTCCTTCAGGCACATTCGGTGCAAAGTCACAGTCGCTCATTGGGTTGTGTGACAAGGCACGGCTGACCCTCACACGGCACAGGAGTGACGGCCACGGGCCACGGACACGTGGTACAGGGTAGTGCCATGAACATATTTTTCTCTTCCTTAGAATTTTCTTTTCTCTAGCTTTCTTGTAAGAATATGGGATGTGTGGTACATAAAACTTACAGAATAGGTGTGAATTGACCATTTGTTACTGGTTAGCAGTAGGCCCTGAGTTAAATTTTTGGGGAGTCAGTAGTTATACACGGAATTTCGACTGCAGGGGGTTGGTGTCCCTCACCTGTTCATTGCTCAAGGGTCCACAGTATCTGATGCGAAAACGGGCATCGTTATTGGCCTCGTCTTTAGCTCCTTAGACAGAGTGTGATTAGGATCCAGTCACCTTTCCTGTGATTTAGGACTCAGACCTGAACCCCAGTGCCTGTCCATGTTTGCCATGTTTAGCAAAGTAATTTAGTCACAGTAGAAACCTCTACCTCTTCTGGTGCTGGTGGTTTCTGGGGTTACCATGAAGCCACTTTAAGCACTTTTGTTTTTTTCAGGTGAGAAATAAAATTAAAAGGAAATATAGAATTTAAAGTATCTGGGCTCAGGCCAAATGAAAGAGAATTGTGTTATTTCACCTTTGTTATGGAGACGTAACTGCCTTTTCTCCCCCCCCCAGTCTGGCTTCAGCCAGTTTCCTTCCAAAGTACTTCAGTTCCAAGTGGAGTTTTTCCAAGTTTCAGGTTCCCTCAGGCTCTCCATGCATCTGTGCCTTTGGAACAGAGCCAAATGCCGTCATTGGTAAGTGGTCCTTGAGCTGGTGGCCCCGTGCTCGCTTTCCTGGGGGCCCAGGGGATCCACTCGGGGGTCTGCACAGCCGTGTGGGGTGACGTCAGCCCCCTGCCCTCCAGGGTTTCCCAGGAAGTTGTGGGGGCATGTCATTTGGTTTTTGAACTGATGACCAGACAGGGTTTTTCCCCTCCTCACATAAGTCGAATACATGCACCACCCCAGAGCAGTTGGGGTTCCTGGCCACGCGTGTGCTCAGTCGGGAATGGGGGGCGGTCCCTTGTCACCCATGTTCCCTCTGGGTCGCTGCCCAGAGTGAGGCCATTTACAGTTCAGCTCAGTGAGGTCTGCTTGCTGTTAACGTTGAGGGGAGAAACAATGTGAGTAAAATGGTCTCCTTCTGTCTCAGCGATTTGTGCAGACGGCAGCTACTACAAATTCCTATTCAACCCCAAGGGGGAGTGCATCCGGGACGTCTACGCACAGTTTCTAGAAATGACCGATGACAAGCTGTGACTCCACCGGGAGTGCAACCAGCACCCACAGCCGGCCACCCCCGAAGCGCTGCGTGTGCCCTTCAGACTCCTGGGGTGGGTGCCGGTGCCCTTGGGCCTCGTGGCTCAGCGGCTGGAGGACTGCCCGGGGACCTTGGTCCTGAGGCCATTCTGTGGTTGTCTGTTTCCTTGAGCAGGGCTTCCCATTTCCAGTATTAAAGGACGAATCATCATCAAGGCAGTGTAGACGCTCAGTGGCTCTGAGCCACCCGGGCCCGACTGCTGGCCCGCGACCTTTAGTTCAGCTTTGACGCTAGCTTCTGCCCTCCCACCTGCGCCTCCCCCGTGCACCTGGGGGCTCCGTACACATGTAGGGACTGGGTTGACAAAAGGATGGACAAATAGAAATTTGTTTTGGCAATAGATTCCATCATTTTTACTGAGTCTGTAATGGGGAAATGAACAAATGTGTCAATGCGAGTTCTCGCATTACACCAGATTTCTAAATAGAACAAGAATACCAGCAGCTTGCCTTAGAAAAGGAGAAAGGAATTCCTTCTCCCCTCTGAACATGACGCAAAGAGACAGCCGTGTCAGCCTAGGGTGGGCGTCTCCCTGCGAGCTGGCGTCCTGGTCTCCCGGGCCTGTGGCGCGGCCGTCCCCGTCTGTCTGTCTGTCTGTCGGAGCTGCTGGCATCACCCGCGGCGAGCAGAGCGCTTCGTGTGCCCCGCGGGTCTCCTGAGTTTCCCCGTTGTGTGTAGGGAGCAGAGTAACACGGAGACGGTCACTTAATTTAGAGGATGTGGAGGGAAGGGTTGGGCGCCACAGCGGCCGGGCCGGACACCGGGGCAGGAGCGGGAAGCCTCAGCCCGCCGCGCCCCCGTCGTTGCTCAGAGCCGCTCTCTCTAGCATTCTGAGAAGGGAAGGCACATGATAACGTTTCCTAGCATCGGTGGCTAAAACAGGTTATGGGCTCTATGTTGTTAGGACTCCCAGAGGTACGTATTCCGTTTTCTTAAATTCCCTTTACAGAAGCCTAATTGTATGGTTTTGATTTCAGGTTGTAAACATTGAAAGTCTGCAGCGGCAGCTCCTGGTTCTGCCAGTTCTCACTGTCATGTAATCAACTAACTTTGTATGTGGATTTCAGTGTAAAGTATGCATGTTACTTTGGTGTGTATTTAATCATGAAATTTAATTTTGCACTTATTTGTAATGTTTCTTTTAAATAAAAGTGACTAATTTTGTTGTACTCTGTATCCGTCAAGGGAGAAGAATTGTATGTTACAAAACCAAACCCTAGTTTTGGAATCTGCCAGACTCCGGGCTGCCTGTGTGGGGGTGGGGGCCCGGGGTTGGCGTCCGCCTGCGGGCAGGGCTAAGGGGCGTGCCGTTCGCTAGCGGTGTGTATTCTCTGTTGGGCACGCTGTGCCCGCTCTCGTGGTGGCGCCTGCGTCCGGTCCCGTGCCTGGCCAGTGTTGTGGTGACTCATCTAACCCGTCAGCCCTAACCGTGCATCGGGGCCGAGGGGGACCCTTCACATTCGTACAGTTACCAGTTTTCCCCAAATACAGTCCCTCTAGTGTATCCAGCTCTACATCAAACTAGGAGGAAAGTTGTGTGAGAAAGCACAGCTCCCGCCGTGCGCGGAGACTGCTGGTAGGGCTGGCGGGGAAGGCGTGGAGAGGCGGTACCCGGAAACCCAGGAATGTTCTGGCATGCCCTGTTGGAGTCCAGGGTGAGAGCATGGTCCTGGCTCTGCCGTGCCGGCTGCGACCTCGCCTCCTCCATAAAGTGACAAAACATGAGGGAGGGAGCCCTTGCCCAGGGGCACTGGACGTGGCAGCTGCAGAGCCATGGGGTCGGGTGGGAGGCTGCGGTGTGTGCCCTGGAGTTTCCCCCTTGGGATGGTGAAGGCCCCACTTGTCGTCTGGGACGTGCCCCAGGCAGCGAGTCGAGGGCCTGGAAGGCTGAGACAGTCCGACACCGTGCACCCACCCAGGCCTGTGCCTGTGACCTCGCTTCTCCCCTCTAGGGAGGTGGCGGGGGGAGCTGTGTCCCCAGCATGGGTGCACCGTCCGGCGAACCTTCTGAGGGCTCACGTGGAGCAGAGCCAAACACTGTTCTCCAAACATAACCATTGATTCGAAGCTCTGGGGGGGGTTCCTGGAAGCCGGGGCCGCTGCCTCCGTCTCCTCGCGTGGCTGCGTCCTGCTGGCCCTGAGCATGGGCGTCAGAGGGACACAGACACACAAGTTCTCCCCCCCAGGGGCCCCCACTTGGCAGCTGGGCTGGGCACCAGGTGTCAGTGTCAATGTGCAGTTCCTGCCTGGGAAGGCAGTGCTCACTAGGCTGTCCTGTCAGTTCTCTGACAGATGGGGAGGTGTCTCCAGCCCTTCTTACCTGCCCTGCCTTCCACGCCGCGCGCGGGGAGACAGAGTCGCCTCGGCACGCTGCAGCCTCCTCACCCTCCAGGTTTGGCTGTCCCGTTAGTCAGGGTGCGTCCTTCGCAGGAGCCCTTCGCCCCTCTGGGCCTGCAGGTGACACCGGAGTACCAGGGGCCCACTCCCCGCTCTGCCACCAGACGTCACCAGCCCTCCGCAGCTCCTGTGACCAGACATCCTTACCAAGCTTCTAGATACCAGCGATGGTTTCGTGAGGTGGGCCCCTGACCTCCCTTCCGTTCTTTCTGTACCAGGCATCGGATCGACGACAGCACTTGGGGAACTTGTACCAAAATTTTGATCCTCGAAATGGATCAGAGAATGCTTACAAAGTTCACAAAGTCGTAAAGTAGGAAAGAACAGATGAGAGAATCAAAAGTCGGAAGCAGAATCGCCCTGAGCTGCCACATCCGGAGAAGGCCGCTCCTGGAAAGCCTCTGCCTTCTGGGATGAGGTGGTTCATTTTCAGCAGCATTATAGTGACTGTTCAACTTCTCAAAACTCATGAACATGTCGGGACATACGTCAGTTGCCCAAAGATACTAATTTGTATTTTTTGCTATTATAAACCTTTAGGAAACAGTAATCCTTGTGCACACATTTGCACACCTGTCAAATACATCTGCCAGCCTCCCTGCTGTGATTCTGTCAGTGTCTCTGCCCAGCACTGGCCTCCTCACAGCCTCACCAGGACCAGGTTCCAACACAGGCGCTGTAATCTTTGATGGAGAAAAAAGGTCTCCGATCTTGGCAGGTGGAACATTTTGGAACACCTTTGCTGGCCATCTGCATTTAGCCTGTAAACGGCTCATTCAGGTCTTTCCCTGTTTCTCTCTTGGTGTGTTTTGTCTGTTTTGTTTGTAAGGACTTTTTCAGTAATTACCCCCTGTCCTTTTTTCTACTTAGTGTTTATCTCAGTTTGAGGGTTTCTGCTCAGCTGTGTCTGTATCTTGAGTGTTTCGTAGGGCACTGTTCATGGGCTGTTCTCACAGCTCACTCATCGAAAGTGATTCCCAAGTGTGTAACGGGGCGAGGGTCTTGCCTTCCTACAGCACAGACTCGGGCTCACACCTCAGGCGGCCCTGGTCCTGACACCTCTGTCCTGGTCTCAGGTGGCCTAGCATTTTAGCACTCTTGAAAGTGGTCTGGTTTGGCAGAAAAACTATGCAGTTGGCCTATTGTAATGCCATTTATCAGTTGACCCACCGACTTGGAACACTACTTAACGAAGAACGAAGTTCTGGCTATGTGGCCCTGCTGATATGAAGCATTTTTTCTTCCAAATGGACTTTAAAGTATCTGGAATAATAGCCTAAAATAAAAGCATTTTGGTGGAGTTAACAATGATTCTCAAGGGCTGAGGGACGAGTGTGTCAGGATTTAATCAGTCTTTTCTCTCCAACATCTCTTCTTACGGTGGCACGTGAATGCGCTTGCGTCCATACTTGATTATTTGTAAATGACAGTACACTGTCCAGCTTGGAGGGGAAGATGCCCTGAGTTTTTCTTGTGTCCTTCCTGTGTTCTGTTTGGTTTCAAAATGGTAACTATTTTACAGAATTACAACTTGGGAAATGGGTATTACTACAATGTGGTTTTTATATTTATCATGCATGGGGCCTGTTGAACTTAAATCTGTAAAATTATGGCTTTCATCAAATTTGTGAAAATTTCAGCCATTATTTCCTCACATAATTCTGCTATTGGTGTCTCTCCTTTTGGGAATCAGGTACACATCTGTAACACCTCTTCTGTTGTCTCACTCACTGGTCATTAGACCTGTTCATATATTTTTAAAGTAGTTCTTCCTTTTTTTTTAATAGGGTAATTGTTATCTATCATTGACTCTCACAACTAATGACCTATCTATCACTGCCCATTCTGCTTTAAAGCCTGTAACTATGTTTTTTTATTTCAGATGTATTCGTCCGTTCTAAAATTAGTTTCTGATTCTTAGCAAAACTTATTTGCTCATTTGAGCATTTTTTCTTACATCCTTGTACAATTTATAGTGCAGATGTTGATTTTTTTTTTTTTTTAAAGATTTTATCTATTTGACAGAGAGAGACAGCGAGAGAGGGAACACAAGCAGGGGGAGTGGGAGAGGGAGAAGCAGGCTTCCCGC